ATCCGCCACAAGATCGTGGAGATGGCCCACCACGGCATCCGGCCCTGCGTCATCTCACGCCAGCTGCGAGTCTCCCATGGCTGTGTCTCCAAGATACTGTGCAGGTACCAGGAGACGGGCTCCATCCGTCCCGGTGCCATCGGTGGCAGCAAGCCCAAGGTGAGCGCCCGGCCAGACCCTGACACCTAGCATGTAATCTTCCACATTGGGAAGGAGCGGGCAGTGGCAAGTGCTGCCATGGGGGCTTTCCAAGGAGTTCTTTTTTAAGTCCTTGAAGGTGTGTGTGTGTGTGTGTGTGTGTGTGTGTGTGTGTTTGTTAGGGGTGTGGGGGTGTGTAACAGCCTTAAACAGGCAGTCAATCTTGATGAACTCTGTACAGATCTGATCACTTAAGTACATATTCTGCAGTGTAAAAGTTTGTATGTTCTGATTAAGTTGCTGTATAAGTATTAGACATTTACAAGTATCTCTTCATCCCCCCCATCAGAATTAAAGATAATGCTTTTTTTCTATAGTGTCTTACCCAATGCTCCTCACACAGTAATTACTAAGCAAATATAAATGACTTACTGAAGTTATTCTTGCCATAGTTGATCTACAGGGAGTTTTTTTTTGTGTTTGTGTGTGTGTGTGTGTGTGTGTGTGTGTGTGTGTGTGTGTGTGTTAGTGGTGTGGAGGGAACTCAGTTGCTGCCAAAGCTGGAGACTTCGTATTGAACGCTCTAAGGGAAAGCTCCAGCTTTTTTGCAAAGGAAAACTTGCGTGAGCCTGTGTGCATGCAAATGCGTATGTGTGTACACGCGTGTGTATATTTCTGGCAATCTTGGAATCCTAATCAAATTATGTCAATAGACAAACACTTCAAGTTTGCAAACTGTACGTGCCCACCTGTTGCTCATTTCTTCCCCTAGTGTCTTCCCAGCTGCCAGCTACAACTCTGCACTTTCCAGAATGAATCGAAGGCACTCTTTTGGGTTTTCTGCTGTTTTCCCTTCTGACTCTCACCTTGAATCTCTCAGTGCGAATTGTTTTCAAGGAGTCAAAAGCTTGCATGATTAGTTTTCTTTGTAATGAGCCAATGATTCTTGTTTTCTAAGGAGTAGTTGGGTTCTATCCTCAGATTATTTTGGTTCCTTTTTTTTAAAAAAAAAGAAAGAAAGAGTGGCACACTGAATAGGGCTGAGTAGGAGGAGATTATACAATCTGCTCCCCCCCCTTCTGGATGTGAGAAAAAGCCAATATGATTTGAGCAAAACTGAAAAGATTAGGGTCAACTGAAGACTCCCCTCCCACCCACTCTCCAGCACCTTCACAACCTAAGAATCTTTGGAAACTCTCCCTTAGGGAGGAACGGGGTGGGAGCGTCGGTGTCGGCCTCTCTGATTATCCATGTTCATTACCCACTCTCATTTTTATAATTTTTTCAAAACCTGGACACTTACATTTTGCATTTCATTTTCTTTTTACTCTAGCTAAAGTCCTTGCGCCCCTTTGAGGAGCTGCAAGTTGCAGACCTAACTTGATTTTTTAGCTCCTCTTTCAAGTATTCCTCTTTTAGTTTCATTTTCGTATTGATTCTGTGTAAGGACTTGCCTTTATTTCCAAAGATGAGAAAGTACAACTCTCATCTCCAAAATGTTATAATTCTTCCTAATTTATCCGGGTCATCCGAGCTTATCCGAAGAGGTTGGGGGAACATCAGGCTGCTGTGGAATGGGATGAGTGCCTGCCTACCCTTTTATAAAGAAAACCGCCCCAGAGAGTTGGGGTCCTTTGGCTCACAAGAGAGACCTTCCCAAAAGATGCAGGAGGCTGAACTGGGCCAGCGGTGGTGGGGCAGCCTCATTTGGCCTCAGAGTTCCGGGTACCAACGCCCGCCCGCCTGTTCTCTTAAAGCAGGTGACAACACCTGATGTGGAGAAGAAAATTGAGGAATACAAACGGGAGAACCCAGGCATGTTCAGTTGGGAAATCCGAGACAAATTACTCAAGGATGCGGTCTGCGATCGGAACACCGTGCCCTCAGGTACCCGGCCTATTAACGTCGCCCCGAGGCGCCGCTATTACCCGAGCGAGATCGCCAGAGCCATAATCACCCCAATTATCGATCCAAGCTATTGGGAGATGGCCTCTCCCAAGGCCCTGAAATATTTACGAACCAGACATTCATTCGTGGTGTGGCATTTTATGAGGGGAGGAGGGAGCTACTTGTCCTGGGGGCGGATGGTTTGGAGACTGCTAAGGTCTCCCCAAAGAGGATTTCTGTAGCGGAGGCAAGGCAGGAAACGTGAGGCCGAGGCCAAGCGTTTATTAATATTGATGTTCCCTTTTAAAGAGAAACAAATGTTTTGGTAACCCCAACCGAAGGGAGGTGGGGCCCTGCCAGCCAAAGCTTTGCCGAGTGCGCAAAGGAGGGAGCTTCGACAAGGGCCCCCGATTTTCCTCGAGAATTTCAGGGCCCATCCGGCGCCCCCGGCAGCCTGCGGGATTTGGAGAAGAGGGGCAAGCGCAGGGCCAGCGCGAGGGCACGCGGAAGAGTTTGTTTTTAATTAAAAGGAAACTCCCTTTTCCCCCTCTGCCTGAACGATATATTTCAGAGCATGGATTTGTTTACCAGACTGGAATCTGGAAAAAATAAATGGGGGAGAGTGCATTTTCTTTTGATTTTTACAATAGGAAACGATTCTGCAGTTGAAATTCAAACCCTTTATAGCCTTAAGAAAAGTTGAATTGCAGGGAACTGGTCCGCTCTGGTTCTTCCTTTACAAGAACCAGGGGGCCCAGTGTCATCAGGTGGGGAGGAGGGAGTTGGCAGGGTGGGCTGGCGGGAGACTTCTCTTAGATTGGAGACCTAGAGCCCCGGATATGGCGTCCAGAAGGGAACTCCTTCCAGCCAGAAAGACAGGGACAGAGGAGGCACTTCCCGGCTGACTGGGAGGTGGGAGGTGTGGGTTTCTCAGGCTTCATCTTTCCGTACTTAGATGCGGATAACCGGGTGGAGGGTTTGAATGGGCAGGTGAGACCTTGATGAGGAGCTGGGGGGACGCAGAGATCCAGGCGGCCGGCAGAACCCAGCGGTGCAGGGCCGCCCTTCTAGCCAGCTGGCTGGACAGCTGGAACTTAGGGTCTTCCTAACTGCCAAGGCCGAGGGTCTCAACCCCCTGTGCTTTCTCCCTCCTCCCCGCCCCAGTGAGTTCCATCAGCCGAATCCTAAGGAGTAAATTTGGGAAAGGCGAAGATGAAGAGGCTGACCTGGAGAGGAAAGAGGCAGAGGAAAGCGAGAAGAAGGCCAAGCACAGCATCGACGGCATCCTGAGCGAGCGAGGTAGGGAACGCCCGGTCGGCCACGTTGGCCCTGTGTCTTATGGAGGCTGACGGTGGCCCAGCCTGGGCTTGTGTCATGTGTCAGTGTCTCTCCTCG